TGTCACATAACATTTACAGGACCTATCCATAGCAACACCTGTCTCAGCTGGCTCCTTAATTCTGGCTTTGAGCCCTCATGTCACAGTACATTTCATTTCATTTCATTTTATGCATTCTTTTATATGACTCATCAAATTGGTCAACATGTTGCAGCATCTTGTGCAATCATTGCATTACTGTGGCGATACAAGATGATTTGATTGATTTTCAAGCCATTTTGTTATTGCTTCAATGGAACTGAAAACAGATTTGTTAATGATGTAGCATACTTCCCTCATTGGATATAGCAGTGAGACCAAATGGTAAATACAGCTGTGTCTCTGGAAACATTATGCACCATTTCTGAATAGCGATTTAATCTCATTGCCCGTTGATGTGAACACCATTGTTGGGTTGTGCTTTTATATGTGTTCTCTTTGGTTATTTGCTCTGTGTGGCTCCCCCGTAAGCAGCTCTTATAATGGAGCTGTCAAGTGGAGCCTCCTTTGGTGTTCCCTTGAACTTTTCCCAACTGGCGAGGAGTGAGAAAATACCTAAGCTTTATGCACATATGGTAGCGGATATCAAATGTTTTATTTTACAATGTAGGTGAGAGTATGTATAGTGTTATAGAGCATAGAATAGTAGCAGACCGAATTTATTCAGAAATTGTATTTACTGAGAGAACAGATTAAGTAGTGGTTTATAATATAAAACTGAAACTGCTCATGCTGAGTCCCAATATTCTGATATATATTTTTGACCTTGTAGAGTTTTTGTCATAGTAAGGACAGCTATGTTGTCTTAACATGTGCGATAACTAACAAAACTGCATTCAGACATCAAGGACGTCTGAACTCCTTACATGTATAAAAGGCCGCACCGTAGCTCAAGCGGTTAGTCGCTGGCTTCCCACCTTGGCGGCCCGGGTTCGATCCCGGGTCTGGTCAAGTGGGATTTATGGTGGACAAAGTGGCGCTGGGGCAGGTTTTCTCCGAGTACTTCGGTTTCCCCTGCCAATCTTCATTCCACCAATTGCTCCACAGTCACCCTCACCTATCATCTGGGGCTGGTACAGTAGGCCAGAATTGGCCGCAGTACAAGGGACTTAGTCCCACCCCACTAGCAATAAAAAAAATATATGTATAAAAATTAAAAACAGATACCAAATTTATGTTACTTTCTGTCTTACTTATGCACAGATTTAAAAGTCACTTCTTCCTGAAACTTCAGGTGCCACGTTGGAAATACTGAAATTACAAACTTAAAATCATTACTCTCAGTGTGATCTCTAAAGACATCCTCCTTACACTATATGTTATGCAAAATTCTTTTTTCATTCATTTAGATATACATAATGCATGAAGACTACCCCTTTTCAGAAAATCTAAAATCCCAGACCTTTCAATTAGCCTCAAGGTATTATCTCAATAGTTCTTTGTTTTCTTTTAATACGAGGGTTGGAACTTTAATAGTGGCAACTATTTATTTACAACTGATACAAAATAGATGTATGTTTTGAAGTTTTACTGTCCTTTATTGTAGTCACCAGCATTGTGTACAACCCGTTGCCAGCGATGTGGAAGTTGTAGGATACCTTTAACAGCGCCTGTTGCGTTGATAATTCGAATGGAGCGGTCTACTGCCTGAAGAATCTCTGGAACAGTTCTGAAGCGAATACCACGAAGTGGCTCCTTCATCTTAGGAATCAAGTCGAAGTCACAAGGGCTTAAGTCCGGGGAGTATGGTGGATGGTACTTCCCAGACCCATCGATCGAACAAATCAGCCACAGCTTGTGCTGCATACGGCCAAGCATTGTCCTGCAAAATGATGGGTGGGTTCTGCAGAAAGTGTCGCTGCACCTTTCTCAAAGCTGGTCACAGGTTGTGTTACAAAAATGAACAGTAATACTGTGCATTGACGGTCTGCTGTCGGGGAACGGTATGCGTTAGGATAACACCATCACAGTCGTACATGAGAATCACCGTAACTTTCACATTGCTGGGGTTCTGACTAACTTTTGATTTTCGTGGTGACCTGTAATGACTCCATTCGTTTGATTGGCGTTTCATTTGTGTCTCCTACTATTTGGCCCATGTCTCATCCAGCGTAATGATATGGCGTAAGAAAGCCTCTCCTTCGCGCTCATAGCGCTCCAAGTGGTTATGAGCAGTGTCGTATCATAGCCATTTCTGCATTTCTGTAAATAATGCGGAACCCATTGTGATGCAATTTTTCTCATGCCCAGGCGTTCCTTTAGAATGTGAAGCACAGTCGTATGCGTTAATCCTGTCTCTCGGGCCAGCTCACGAATCGTATGGTGTCGATCACTCTCCAGTAACGTGGAAAGAGCATACACCACTTCTTCACTGACACTAGGACGACCTGGCCGATGCATGTATGCCACATTTTGACGTCCCCAATTGAAGGCATTTACCCACCCTGCTACTGTTCTGTAAGGCAATGCAGATTCGCCGCAAGCCTCTAGAAGACCTTGATGACACTGTCGCGCTGTACGGCCTCTGGCACATTCAATCTTTATCCAACTCTGTTGTTCCTGTTTCGAAAATATCGTGACAACACTACATTAGACCGCCAGCTAACACGAGGCTCTGTTCTTCTCGTCACTGCGCATACGCGTGATGTGGGAAGGGAGAGTCCATTTGCTCTGAGGTAAGGTAGGTATGTAACTAACGTGTGGTATAAGCGACATTATTTGGTTCCGTTGCATGGCGTCTTTACAGCAGTGTTGCCACTATTAAAGTTCCAACCCTCATACATAGCATTTTGTAATTTTATTGATGGATTATATTTGCATTACATAACATTAAGGTATTACTAACAGTGATGTAGTGCATGTCCTGTGAAGCACATTGTCAGATTTTTTTCCCAAAATAATAGTAGTACATGGTGGTACTGCTGATTGTTTGGTTTGAAACAAATCTTTTGCAGAATGTTATTTGCATATTTATTACTAGACATTCAATCCAGAACAGTGGAAAATTAAAAGAATCTTTATTGTAATCATCATATTTATCTTCTGCATGGTCAGTTTTCACTTTTCATTATATTGATTCAAATCTGTTGAATGCATAAACGTTAATTTTTCTTAAAACTTCAGAGTATATGTTGAGGTATAGTTGACATAACTATCATTTTATTTTATCAGTTATTCCTGCAGATGTGAAGATGTAGAAACATTAATTTTGCTTACATTCCACAACATGTTTTCGACTATGGTTCAACTACTGTTTTATTTTTATGTTTGTTGTTAATTATGCCTTACATGTAAGTCTGGTTTGCATATTTATAAGATAATTTTATTTTCCAGTTCCTATTCTTGCCCTATCCACTGAACATGTAGTTTTGGTTCTCACAGATATAATTATGTCCATTGCACAAAGTTGAGGAAATGAATAAATAATACTCCATCTACATATTTCGGCTCTTCTTTTGTGAAATGTGGAGGGGAAGTGGACGGGCTGTATTAAAAGTTGGTGGGCAAATTTGATTTTTATCCCAGGTTAACGCAACACATGTATAATAGAAATCAACCCCCCCCCCCCAAATAGTGATGTTACTTCTATTTGAACCATTTTTCAACATACATGAGCAATGATGTAGAAATAAACATAATTTACGCCAGTATTCTTTTGAATATTTTTATTGCTGACTAACTCTGTTTACAGCAAATTTTTATCTGCAGTTAATGAGGATTAGACCACTTAGAGACGCCAAATTGCCAGAAAAGAAAACAGCATCAGTAGAAAACTGAAGGAGTTGATATATTTCAGAATAACGGAATGCACTTCCAACCACTCATGCCTTGATGTGAAGTGTGTATTGCTATCTCTACTATGAGACAGGAAGTAACAGTGTGTCTATGGCTCTACAGTCCTTTCTTCAACCTTAGCCGTTTTTTCAGTTTCTTAATCATATACAAAGTTGGTAGAACTCCTTGGATGCCGGATCAGTCTGTTGCAAGGCCGTTACCTACACACAGAACAACACAAACATAGAATAAATGCACACAGACATTCATGCCTTGAGTGGGATTTGAAGCCACGATCCCTGTGTTCAAGTGAGTGTTCATGCCTTAGACTGTGTAGCCACTCAGGAAGTAACCACATGTGTAGTGTAAGAATAGTTAAAACATTTCCAGGTTACCACTGGCTGGCATACTAGCCTGCTGCTGAGGAGGCCCTGAGTTTGATCATACCATAACCCCTATTAAAAGGAAAAACAATAAATAATGTCAATAATGACAACCGGTTACATAAATACAAGGGCAGAAAATTATGAAAATATGTCACAAATATACCTCGGACAATGAAAAATGTCTAACATAATACTGGTGTAATGAATCAACAATTATTACAACATTTAAAGAATCATCTATGAGAAATTACAAATACCAGGCCTAACACCTAAAAATTCTTACATTATTCAAGGTGGCATGTGCACTAAATGATGCCATCTGCTGCTGTTTCTAACTAGGAACAGTAACAAAATCATGAAGTTGGAGGTATGGTAGTTTTTATAATTTAGTGTAATAAACAGATATAATAAAGAGCTGGGATAGTTTAGTTGGTATAGTAACAGGCTATGGGCTGGATGGCCAGGGTTTGATTCCTGGTAGGGGCAAGAGATTTTTCTCTCCTTCACAGTGTCCAGACTGGTTCTGGACCTCACCCAACCTCCTATCCAATGGCTACTGGGGGCTCTTTACGTGGGAGTAAATTGGCCAGAATGTGAAGCTGGCTGCTCACCTCCATCTAATGCTGAGGTCAAGAATGGTGGAGCTATATTTCCACTCCCCCATACATCTTCATGGCCTAGTTCTTAATCACTTAAGTGTAGGAACAACTTTACCTTTTACCTGAAACAGATACAGTAGACTGTTATACATATTCTTTCTTTAAGAACTAATGGAGTCAGTTCCCAGTTATATTTAATTTAATTTAGAACATGATGTAAAAGTCGCACATGTGGACACAATACATGCAGTTACTCTTGCAGTGACAAAAATGCTGGCCGTGATGACAGAGCAGTCCCCGGACTCAAGTAAAGACCCAGTGGAGGCATTCCTCTCAACAGGCCGGACAGGCCGTCGAAATGCACTAGCTGACATCAGAGGTGAGCATGCTGCCACGAGCACAAGCAGTCTCCCAGAATGTCTTGAGAAACTATCAACTAATGGTGTGTATTACATTAAATAGTTCATGCCATGTAAATTATTACATTTTAATTCATAATACTCTAATAGTGTTATTTTAGTCAATATATGTGTGTTTTGAAAGCATACCGGTTATATAGAATCAGAAGAAAAATACAAGGATGCTATGAATAGCAAGTCAGAATGGATGTAAGAGAACAGCCCCAGTCTCAACCAAGATTGAAACCATGTGCTTCAGGATATGAAGCTGGATAGTTTAAATTAGTTTATGGATTTGTTTTTCATTCTCTGATACCTGTTTATTAGCTCTGCCATTTATTCATTCATTCTGTCATTCACTTTCTTTCTCACACTCATTACAGTATTATGTACTCAGGTTATATAGAAGTGTAAGAAGGTATAGGAGGCCTTAAAACTATAAACAAATAACCAACACTTGAAAGGCTTTAAGGTTTCATAAGATATATGGATCTGTGTACATACAATTAGAATTAGAGTGCAGTGCAAGAAGAACTGTTCAGAAGCAAAAATAATACTGTCTAATGCGACTAAGTTTTATCACTTGAGGATTTATCTCCCTTACATGTTTCTGCCCTTACGGATCATCCTCAGAGGGTATCATTACTTTTGGAAACTACTATTACAATAGATGTTAATTGTATGGATACACATATGATGTCTAAAATGCACAATATACGCAGTGTTCAACCTTCCACATTCACGGTGGCCTTCTTGGTGTTAAAACTTTTAATTTTTTTTTTTTTTAGTTTTAAAAACTTTCAAGATCAAGCTTAAAATTTATGAACCATACAGGTTCACATCAAATCTCCTATTGTAACAGTGTAAACAACACAGCAGGCCACGCATAAACACGGAAATACTAAGAATCTCCTTTCGCAAGATAAACAGGTGGCACAGGACCAGCCACCTCCACGAATAACAATAGGAGATTTGACGCGAACCTGTATGGTTCATAAATTTTAAGCTTGATCTTGAAAGTTTCTAAAACAAACAAAACAGAATTTAAAAAGTTTTAACACCAAGAAGGCCGCTGTGAATGTGGAAGGGTGAACATTGCGTATATTGTGCATTTTAGACATCATATGTGTATCCATACAATTAACATCTATTGTAATAGTAGTTTCCGAAAGTATTGATACCCTCTGAGGATGATCTGTAAGGATCGAAACATGTAAGGGAGATAAATCCTCAAGTGATAAAACTTAAATAGGTATTGTTTTTGCCTTTGTAATTGTTAGTGTGACGGACCAGAATGAAACAAATAAAAAAAAAGTTCAGAAGCATTCATACTGCTGACCACATGAAACTTTCTGAATTAAGTAACTCTAATTTGATCATTTTATATGAGGTTTTTGGTTCAGTCTCAAAGAAGTTAACCGAAGATGGAGGTAGCATGTACCACTACCAGTAATAAAGGAATAGAATTAAATATAATTCTAAAATTATTTTAAATCATGTTTGTGGTTAAATGTTTCAGGACTTACACATTCATTATCTTGTATATTTTAATCTATAATTTTTCTACATTTGACTGTCTATGTAAGAATTACTTAATTCATGTGGGATGAAAGTCGTCAAATTTTCGTATGTATTTTTGTGCAATTCACTTACATATATATAACTATTTTGGCAGACCGAATTAAATGATCTTGTGGCCCTCACGTTTGCTACTGTTGAAAGGTTTTAATTAATGTTATGAATTGTGTTGAGCAGATTTAAAGTTTGTATCTATTATTTAAGTATAATTCTTTCATTGGTATGTAACAGATTAGTGTTTTTGAAGATTTTGTTATTCTTGTGGGTTTGTCTTTGGTACATTTCAGGTTATAGGTTAAGTGATCATTTACAGAAATACTTATGAGACATTTGTTTTCACAGAACATTTTTATTTAAATCACCAGGAATTGTTATTGTTTGTACTTGTTAATTTTCAAATAGCAAACTGTGCAATAAAGAGGTCTATCTTCTGGGATAAAACCCTGTGTAGGCTGTTGAAAGTCAGCTGACATTGCTATCTGCTTCCTGCAGGTTTCTTGCTTGAACCAGAAGATGGAGTAATATGTTCTTCCATAACATCAACTGACTTTCAACAGACTACATGGCATTGTATCTCAAGAGATAGAACTATTCATAACTAATACCATGATAACTAAAAATCCTACAGTGGTAGAATAGTTCTACGTTGTTTACTTATTCATTTTAATCTACATTTAGAGATCAGTAATTGTTACAGCAAGTAATCATTGTTGAGCACAGTTTACTGTGATGATGGCTATCTTACATGTCCATGAGACTGCACCCGTTGTCTACATTTTCTACATATATATTACGGTAAATTGCAACTTTCTGTCCTATATCTGGACTTGCAGAAACAGATTACTGAATTGTACCAGGAATCTCCCTGGGGATAAATGGCAGCTGGCGCATAAAGGTTACAACCTCACCACCATCTGTGACCGACTGTATAGAAAATATGGGAGCCTAGATGTCTCACAACCATATTTGCCTCCACAGCTAGTTACAGGGATAGCTTTACCTTCCCTCCTCTAAATTTATGAGAATATTTCTCATCGGCACCCAACAATTAATTTTGATTAATAAATTATTTCCCCAAGCACTGATAAGGCAAGGTGGAGCGTTGTAAGGTTCGGCCACACTGTGTGATAACTAAAAGTAAAAATTTTAAATGTACAGGAGTCAATGAGCAAATAGCACCCAGTCACTCACACTGACAGATAAATACCTAGATACCTGTGTACCTACATTTTAATTATTTACCCGACTTTCTACTTACCTATAGCTCAGTCATCCACCCACCTTACTTACCTGTATGCCATGAAGTAGAAAGTGTGGAGACAGGAAGCATATTGATGTTTGTTTTATATTCACTACTTTCTGACATGAGTGATTCTGAATTCCTGCAGACAAATCATCGGACAACTGTGACACCCAAGGCAGTCCTACCAATTCCATAAGTGGTTCATCATCTAGTTCTGGGGTGAAATCAGCAGAATCAGTACCCCTTCATCAGTCTGAGAAGGGTGCAGGAGGCATAGAACAAAGTTGAATCTCATTGACAGTTCCATGGAAGGAGCAATATTATGCTTCTGTGTGGAGACTCAGATGACAGTGTTGCCAGGTTCCTGCTGCAGATGGATGTTCTCTCGGTGACCACAGTTGCATATTTCTCTTTCCTTTGCTCCTCCTGGAACATTACTTTGTTTATTGATCAGTTGCCATTTGAAAAATAGTGTTCATTGATCGATTCTTGGGTTATTAAGTAATTCTTTTCAGCTGCGTAGATTATATAGCTTGAAATGGTAAGATGATAGAGAACATTCAGTTGAAAAGAATGTGGGAGTAAGCAATAGTGGCCTATTTCAAGGCATTATACTAGCACTTGTCTGTGGGAGTGAGGAAAACAACGAAAACCTGAAATCAGGATAGCTAGTATCAGAGATGAGATTCAAACCCAAGCCAATCTAATACAAAGCAGTAGTGAAAATAACCCATCTATGGCATTCAGTGGAAAATAGTGTTCATGGAAGCATTAGGCATGATATTTTGGAACAATTTTGGTGATGTTTTAGAATTTTACATGTGCTAAGTAAGTGAATGGTTAATTGATTCTTAGGTAATTTAAGAATGTTGTTTCAACTGCATGGGTTATGTACTATTAGTGTTATTTAAGGAAGCAGTACAACATGAAAGGGAGGAGGTTATAAAATCTTCAGTTATTTATTTTTTATGTGCAGTAAGTCATGAAACTTGACATAGAGACATAACACCTGAGAGAACAACACTCTGAAACAAGAAGACTGTTTCCTCATGACAGTGTTCAACAAATAGCACAAACAATTAAAGTAACGACAGAACAAGGCCTAACTTAATGTTGGCTTCTTGCTATAAGTGATATATTAATGAACTTGCTTCTCTTTTTCCTTTTTTAAGATGTGCATTTCTATTTGTAAAATAACCCTACAGCAGTGAGTATTCTTGTAGCAACCTTTGCTTCAAGCTAAGAAAAAATTTTGGAGAGTATTTATTATTGTTGTTTTAATGAATTTGATCACTTTTATCATTACTGAAAGTTTGGCAGTATTATAGTAGTTCAGTAAATAAACTGAAACAAGCCAGAGAAGATAATGCATTAGTTTAGGCATCTGCGTTTCTAGTCTTGGCCAGGTGATCCAATTGTGTTTTTGCACCCTTCGGTTTATGTGTATTTTCCCTCTACAACTAAAGCCATATCTGACCAGAATATATATTTTGGCACATTCGGCCATGCGGCCATACATGAAGTAGCTGGAATCCCCAGCCTAATTGGCAGCAGTTTCATATATTTTGAGTAGACTCTGTTTCATTTTACACCAGTTTTCTTTCCAGTGTATCACTGATGGTATTCAGTTTGAGTAAGGTCTCACGGAAGGATATCAAAATACATAGAGAAAGAACAGTCTGAATTAGGTATCTTTGCTTGCTCTCTTGACCTACCACTGGGCAGCCATGCAAACTGATAGAAAATCATGTCTGAAATTGGTTGGATTCTGTATCAGATGTATTTAAGTGTTCTGCCATCTACATTTCAAATTGATCATTTCCAGTCAACATGTTATATGCAATAATAATTACTAATGAAGAAACTTTTTTTCTGATTTCTTACAAGATACTGTTTTACATGAAGATAAAGTTCTGAAATATGTAACAGATACTGAACATTACTGTATAACTCATTATGCAGTTTAAAATTTTTGTTTTGAACCATTTTGAAATGAAATTGTACACCAGTCAACATTTGCCTGAAATACTTTTTACTTTTATTTAATTTTCTATGAGTGTCACACATATAATTTTACTGCATAAGTATAGCTCTTGCCCAAGCCAACTAGTCTTAATATTTCCTGTTGTGAAAATTATATATATATATATATATATACTGAACCAAACCTGGCTTAGCACACTTTGGAATTTATTTCCACATCAATAATTCTAAGTGAACAGTGAGATTATTTTAGTATCTTATGCAGATCGTTCAAATGCTGAGGCAGAAGAGTCAGATACAACTCCCATGATCTGTCCTTCATTCTCTCAGCAGAATTACAAATCTTAAAGCCTGAACACTTGAGAAATAAGTTTTTCTCAGATAACAGCAAATGCTGAATATTTTCTCCATTATTGTCAGAAGAAAGTTCCAGTGTAGCATCAGTTTCATTCAGTCCCTCTTTCACTGCATCAAATCAGTGAACAGCTATTGTAAATTGAGGTTATGCATTATGTACTGAAAGAGTAGATAGCATATCCATCATCTTTTGTTAATATGGTAAAGTTCTGTGTAAGATCTGAGGTTTTCACAGCAGTGACTATGAAGAAAGAGTATTCTGGGATATGGCGCCATGTAGATATTGTGTTAACCGACGTTTTGGAGGAACGTATCGCTTCCATCTTCTGCCCTGAAGATGGAGGCGATATGTTCCTCCGAAACGTCGGTTAACACAATATCTGCATGGCGCCACATCCCAGAAGACTGCTTTCTTCATGAGAAAGTTCTGTTTGCAGTCCACTTAGGCTGTAGGTTTGTTGGTTTTGCCAGCAGTCAAAATCTCCACTGCCCTGTTTGATTGGAGGAGCATGTGACTTTTCTGTCTGAGCAGTTCAGTGATGTGCAGGAGTCTGTAAATGATTTCACAGTACATTTATTGACCTAGACTTCGTATTATAACCCGATACCCTTAAAGTTTCAATGTTTAATGATACAGTATTTGCACAGACATATAGTCATCTAGTGAAAGCCCTAAATAATGCAAGTGTTACTGAGACTGATGACATGTACCATGAAGGCTGCAGACGGAGCACACAAAATCTGTATAATATTGTACCAATAATTATGTCACTATAGAACTGTACTGTAATGTATAGCTAAACACCTCATGCAAGACATTCATTTATCAGATGTTCAGAACTTTAATACTGTACTGGCATATGTTTCCACACTTACTGCATAATTACCTGCAATCATTTGCACAGTTCTCTTATGTTAAAACAAGGAAAGCACAATTATGTGATATTTCCTTTACAATGTGAAAATGGTCATGTAGGAATGGAGTACATATAGTGATAATGGAAAGGGCATGCAGTAGTGCAGTTGCTTGAGCCACTATCTTACAAGGTGGAAGGTCACAGGTTGGATACCCAATGAGGTCACTGGATTTTTCAATTGACAATACCCTTCCAGCTGCACTATGGCCCTGGGGTTTACTCAGTTTCTAACAGAACTGAGTACAGAATCTTCCTTGGGGTTAAGGGTAGCTAGCACATAAGGCTGTTAACCATACCGCCATTTGTGAGCCAATTGTCTAGAAAATGTGGGAGCCTCAACGTATCTCAACCCTGTGGGCCTCCATGGCCTGTTACAGGGATAGCTTTACCTTTTACCTTAGTGATAATGGAATTTAAAAATATTTTTGAGTATCCTTTTCAGTCAGGGACATGTTTTGCATTCATGCATCACAGTGGATTTTTCAGTGTATGGACAGCCCTATTACGTAGTTTTGTACTAAAATACTGTCTTTTGAAGTCTTCTGAAGTTGTTTTGTGATTGATTTTTTGGGGATGAAATTGAAGAACAGAAACTTAATACAGTTTATTCCATTTAGAATGCTGTCCCTCTGACTGTAGTCAGTGGTTGTCATGTTGAAGCATCTCTTGTTCCCTTTATTCAGCAGGACTTCGGATGCGCACATTTTACTTTCTGTAAGTTCTGAAACTTCCAAAAACCTGAGGGTGACTGAGTTCTCAGTAAATGCTGTCCAGAGGAAGTAGGAGCCCTTAGAAGATAATGTTTTAGAACCTCTGTTTACATTTCTGTCATTGATGATATTAAATGAGTAATAGAATCTTAGAGGTTATTTACTTTTTGTGGAACATGACTTATCTCTCAGTATATCTGGCAGTTTTTTCAGTTGTATTATAATGGGCTTTCACATAGCATACTTCAGAGTGTTAATATATTGTAAATTTTTGATATAGAAACCTGGTACATATTTAGTAGGCATGTGCAAGAATGGCTTCTTCAGTTCAAGACTAGAATTTGGAAACATTTTGAGCATCAAAAAGAGAACTAAATTTCTTTCACCATGACCACAGAGAGGAGGGTGGGGGGATTTTGTTGACTAGCTGATTCAAGCTAGGTTTACTAACTCATTGCAATTCTAATGAATTGAATAGTTTCCATACTACTGTGAAAAGTAAAAGTTGCCTGAAAATTCTTGAAGTTTGAGTATGAAAATTCATTTGAGTCAAGAGCAAGATATTTTTTTCTTTCAAGTTGCTCTGCAGTTCAAGACTTGCACTTGCCTAATATTTAGGAAAATACTCAGGAATGCAATGACCGAATTTGGTTTTATATTGTACAAAAACTTGGCATTTAGGAAAATATTAGGAATTTACTGACAAAATTTAGTTTTATATTATTTATAAAACAATGATTTACAGCATTTTTTGCCCTTATAAAGTATTACATTATGCTTGCCACCAAGGAGACTTGGCAGTGCAACAGTATTTGTCATAGAAACGTTTTATTTATATATTGATTTATTTTATTCAACAACTGGAAAACAATTGTGTAGTATGTTTTCTTATACAAATCAACGTTATGGATTGCACTTGACAATGATAAATCTTAGGAATGTAACAAGCAGTGGGAGACCTAATTCATGGTTTCTTGAAAATGTCCCCTTGTTCCTTAGAAGTTTCTTTCTAAGTTTTATAAAGGGGACATTGTCTTTTGCAGTTTGTTCTTATGATGCTGCTAGCAGTATAATTGATATTGAGTGTCACACTATAATAGTTGATAGATGATAAGAATTAATTTTTATGTTATTGTATTCTTTTCTACTACTTACCCTTCCATTGTCTTGTTAGTTAATTGCCTAGACATTGAAGCATCTAGTATTAGTATTGACTGAAAAATAATGATTTTGTTCATGTGTCCATCAGTCTTGTGGTATTGACATCTTAAAACAGTAGTATAAATTCTTAAGTAATATGGAACCAGATGTGTACCTAGGTACCCCTTTGAGGTAGGTACTGTACTTCATTTGAAGTTTGAGATTGTTGGTGCACTGAACAGAAGGGGATGCACAATAGATCATTACATGACCATGGTGCTTAGGCCTGTAGCCTCACTCCATATTCATTCGGTTCTTGAGTAAAAATGTTGTAACAGTTGCTGACATGTTTTAGCAGTGAGTTTAAGCATCATACCATGAAGACTTACAAGAGATTGATGATAAAGCTCCACACATTCTTAACCTCAGCAC